TGGGAGCATGACCTTTAAGTAAAATGCTTAACACAATGTCCAGCACATGGTAGGCTCCCAGGAACCATTACCTGTGTTAATAGTGTGTGTGACCATAACTGCATGTACTCTCCAATGCCACGAAGAGCTATAATGAGTATTAGTCCTCGATTAAGCAGAACCTAACTCATCGGAGCTTGTGTTTAACCAGAGCCTGGCTCATCGTGGCTGTCCAGTAACACTACCCTCATTTTGTGAGCACTTTAGATTTAGGAAAATGGCAAATTAAAAGGAAACGCCCCGGTGTCAGGGATTTATGCAAAGTCCTATAGTATATTTTTTTGTCAGTGCTGATCTAGCCCCATCTCCTGACTTTCCGGAGACGATAACTGCAGAGTAGCTCTGAACAGCTGACATTCGCTGAGAAGGAACTACATGCCAAGCATTGTGCTAAACACTGTGAGTACATTTTCTCACTTAATTGTCACAACAGCCCAGGGAGGTAGGTACTGTTAGTAACTGTCTTACAGAGGGGGAAACCGAGGTTTAGTGAGGCTAAGTTATCCGTCCCTACAGTTATTAAATAGAGGCACCAGATTTCAATCCTTACTCTGACTCCAGGGCCCTGTTCTAACCCAGAGCCATCCGACAGAAAATAATGCAAGCCATGTATGCAATTTTAAATCTGCTAGCAGCTATATTTGTAAAAAAGTTAAAAAGAAGGAGGAGAAATTAATTTCAATGATATATTTTCTCTAATGCAGTATATCCAAAATATTATCATTTCAACATAGTCGGTTTAGACGCTCTTAATATCTTATAATCTTTTTCTTTTTTCGTGCTGAGGCTTTGACATTCAGTTTATATTTTGCACTTACAGCCCATCTGAATTTGGACGAGCCACATTTCCAAGTGCTCAACAACCGCATGTGGTCCCTGACCACTGTACTGGGCGTGTGTAGCTCTCACCCCTGTACCGTCATGCCTGAGTCACTGAAGTCTGTGTCATCCAGGTTTACCAGACTCTATTTACCGAGGAAGAAACTCAGTAAAATTTCTATTTTTAACAAAGGTAACAAAAAGGTATAGCAGGAGTTTAACATGTTAATTCTTACATTCCCAGTTTGCTAAACAATTAATTTATCCTCAAAGAATAGCTCTTTCCTAGAACATCCTGCTAGCTGAGCTTTTACTTGGTCATATTTAATATGTATATTTATACAAGTTGGTATAAATGAAAAAACATTAAATGAATGACTGAATGAATATATTCACTACCATGGAAAAGGAGGATCTCTTAGGCAGGGAAGATACGTAAGTACCGTATGGGCAAGAACCTTATCCAATTTTTGCCCGTCTCTGTAGCCCTGCCTGTAGGAAAGTGCCAGGCATGAAGGAGACTTGCAAGAAGTATTTTTCGGGGAGCAAATTGATGAATCCACATGGAGAAATTAGTTACTTCAAATTCCTAATGGGCACAGGGAATCTAAGTCCCTTCTTTCTCTCCCCTGAGTATTTGGATTTTAAGGCTCAAAGTAATGAATTTAATTTATTTAAACCATTTATGTTTCCAAATGAAATGGCATCAGAGAGACCACAGAAATCAAGAGTCTACTTTTTTTGCTGTTTGTTTGTTTTGTTTTGGTCGCACCGCGTGGCTTGTGGGATCTTAGTTCCCCCGACCAGGGGCTGAACCCTGGCCCTCGGCGGTGAAAGTGTGGAGTCCTAACCACTGGACCACCGGGGAATTCCCGAGGGTCTACTTTTAAAAGACAGTTGTTGACTTCCTCACTGACAGTCCCAAATACGTCAAAGGCAGATGTCCTTTAGATGTTGGCGTAGGTCACAGGCTGCACCGTCCGTCACTCAACCTCAGAGTATTTCGTCTCTGAGAAAAAACCCTCACATACCCTTTTCCTGGCCTGGACCTCACTGCTTATCCTCAAAGTGCTCCCGAGATCCTCGCCTGACTCACGTATGGATTCTTCTCCCACTCCACACCATTCATACATTAGTGCTCAGCCCCCATGGCTTCTTCCTGCTCTGACAAGATATTCTGTCTCAAGAGAGCCTGAGGATGGTCTCAGATCAAATCTCCTTTAGTTTCGAGGGGGCTGGTCCAAACCCCAGCAGGGAACAGGTATCTGCCATTTAACCCTAAACCTGAATTTGCCTTTTTAACTTAAATATTAATTTCCCTAAGACAACCAAACACTGTTGTATTGTCAGAACTCTTTGAACTGCAAGTGCTAAAGCCCAGTTCAAACTGATTTCACAAAAGAAAGGTAAGGAGGTTAAGGTGGCCCTCAGGCACGGCTGGATCCAAGGGCTTCGACAAGGTCAGAAGGCCAGTGTCCCATTTTTGTTCTCCATTTCTGGGTTCTGCTTACTTCTATATTGCCTTTATTTTCAACACTTCCTTATGTCATGGGATGCTTCCCAACCCCTTACCCAGAAACCACATTTATAGCCAACCAGGGCTCTTGATCTGCAGGATTCATCTTTAGCCTGGCTATGTGCCCTGGGGCAAGTTGCTTCACTACTCCAAACTTACGTTCCCCTTCGGTAACATCAGGATAATAACAGCCTTCAGGTCAGGCTCCATATTATGTACATAAAATGCTTAGCACAGACCTGAGTGAGTGTTTTAAGACAGAAGTGGGGGGAAATTCTATTTTCTATGGGGTAGGTAGTCACGGTTGTAGAAAAGAGACTGTTTACAAGTTCTCCCAACCTCAAACCAGTGTCATTCAACAGAGGACAGTGTGCATCTGTTCTCTGAGCCTCCTGTAAGACTTCAGTGCTTGGGAGACCTGGCAATGACATGGATGTAGAGGGTTTGTCTTCTGATGGTGACCCATTGAGTCAGAGTAAACCCCTGTCTCTTGCTGGACCCCCTTGGGACTTGTAGCGTGGCCAGCCAGCACTAGGAGGGATCCCCAACGTTGAACTTGGTCCTTAAGAGGTCACAGACCCAGAGCCCTCACCCAAGCAGCAGTAACAACCAGGGTATGTTTAGAAACACATTTGGGGGGCTTCCCCCTCAGCCATACGTTTGAGATTTTATTCTAGAGCCTGTTCGGGTCTAGTGCTTAGTATAAGTGCTCAGTAATTACCTGTTGACTAAAATGAACAAACCAACATGATAACATGACCTGGCACATACAATACTAATGTGATGAATGTATGAATGAATGAATGCGTCATAAAGCTTGTTAAATGAATAGTTGATGATCTACAGTAGATGAGCCATAAATGTTGGCTGAATGAGCAAAGAATGAATGAATGAAAGAATGAATGAATGAAAGAATGAATGGCCTGTCAGTCATGTCCATGGCTACTACTTTCCATATGTGTTAAGCTGATCTTTGATTTATTTTCTGTAGCTATAATTCAGTCCCAGCAAACTGACACTCTAAATTTATGACTTGTTTTTATTTCCTGTTGTTGAATTTTGAAATAGATGATGCCGTCACATGGATTGAATTCCGTTTTCAAATAGAGAGAGGTATTTCCAAACATCCTTGAATTGAGCATGCAGAATGAGCGAGGCATGGTGCTTACGTACTCACTAATCTCTGTTATGACATGTCTGCATGACTGAGAGTATCATGCTCCTGGGTTGAGGAAAGGAGGGTTGTCCACAAATGACACATGAGTGGAGCCATCATGTTCCTGTATATACTCGGTAGATATATGTACGGGCTGGAATAGGTAAATTTAATCCTTTGCCATTATTCATTTCACTTTCCTGAATTCTGTGCTATTTCCAAGGAGTAACTGCTTTTCTTCTGGGTTAAGTAGAAATCTTTGCTTAAGTCAAAACCACTTACTTTAAATACATTCAGAGACATCAGGATCTTTTGCCCTAGGAGTGTTTCTCATGTTTTTCAAAGTCAATGAATTGTCACTTGACCTTAATGGACACTTACAGATCACTGAATTAAGGATTAAACTAAGTGGAGAAAAGACTCTTTTATCCAAAATTCTCTGATTTATTGAGACAGATTTGGGAAGTCATAACATTGTCACATATTTGAGCATTGATGATTAGAGTGCCAATGTATACAAGATTAAAAGGACTTGGGGTTTAGTTCTGCTATTTGGAATTATTTGTGGTCCCTTTTAAGGAGGTCGAGAATATTTGCACGGAAGAGAAAAATCTGGTGAGAGTCACTCCAGTTAAAATTCAGTAAGATGTGCAATTGCTATTGTAAGTCAGAACGTTCCTGAAAAGTTAAAAAAAAAAAAAAAAAGCCTCAGCTTCCTAGATACTTTGTGCACAGGTTGGTGTCAGGAATTCCAAATAAATGACTAAATGGTGAAATGTTGTCCCTTACATTTAGATACGTTACTATTATGTATCTCTCTTGCTGAAAAATTTTCTCCATCATTGGTTTGAAGTTAAAACTTGTGTCACATAGCTGAAAATAACAAAAAGAGATGTTCATATTCTTATGTAGTCTTGAGATGCCAGGATGCACTTTTCTTCTTCAGGCAAAATCCATTTTTAACACTCATCCTCCAGGTAGGCTTTCCAGGTGGTCATGAAAGGAAACTTGTTCATTGCTTCGTATCTGGAAAGGATAGATTTGATCTACATTGGAATCTTCTTAGAGCCGAATCTGCACATTATCCAGCCCCTTTCTAATGAGATTGTGTTCTTCTGCCAACCAGTTTCACTGCATGCCTAAGTCAGAAAATTTTGAAACATATTACACTTTTCTAGATTTTTCTTCCAGAGAAAGGAACTTAGCTGAAGAATTTGAAAACCTTCTCTTACATACCCAGAAGTTTGGCCGGGTGATGGGTTGTTTGGGAACAAAAGTAATTACCGAGTGTAGTCAAATCAGATTTGCAAATCCTAATACACAGATTTAGGCACGTGATACTGAAATTTGTGACCAGTAAATAAATAAGACAAAATAAAATTCCAACATCTTCTCCTGTCTCTCAGGAGAGTCTAATAAATGGACTTGGGTTCCCCTGCAAATAGTTAACCTATGTTCTCCTAAACCCAGCATCTAGAGGCCCAGTGGCCCACATACAATATGGAATGGGCAACAAGACTGACCATGCCAGCTGCCTTTTAAAAGTAAACGCCAGTTAAGAAAAAAATCGCCTTTCCAAAGAAATAGTACGGCAAAAGGGGGAGTAATGGAACGCCATCTTCCTTCAGAAGAAAACAATTGCTCTTATCAGACTCCTTCCACTTAAGGTAAGCCTTGTGTGGGAGAGACCAGGGGGAAGAATGGGGGCACATTTGGGGAACCAGGGAAACATTAAAAAATTTGCCTTTTATTTGTAGGTAAAGTATCTATAAAGTATACTGGGGAAGCTCCTGATATTACAGTCAGATTACCAAGGTTCAAACCCTTGCTATGGGCATGACCATTCATTCATTCATTCATGCTGAGCGTTTCCTCTGGGCCGGACACTGGAGGTTACAGCTCTGAACACGATAGATGAGACCCCTGCCCTCCTGGAGCTTACATTCTAGTGAGGGGAAACAGAAAACAAAGAAATAGGCATGCCGATGAAATGAGCTCATTTTAGACCAGGATGGAAGAAGAAAATCATGCAGAGAACCACCGGCAGGGGGAGCTGGAGGTCCCTTAGGTTAGGATGTATACACTGAGGTGGTGGCCTGAATGAAGTGAGGATGCCCAGGCGGGAGGAACAGCTTTCCAGGCACCGGGAACAGCAAGCGCGAAGGATGCATTACGATGTGGCCGTCAGGCAGGTCAACTTGTTTAGACTTTGTCTGGTAAGGTAGGGAGTCCGTGCAAGACTTCGAGCAGGGGAGTGATACGATCTGAGCTGCACTGGGGAGGGCGAGCCCTCATGTCCTCATCTCTCGTGTCAGGGATAACACAGGAGGAGCAGCAGGCCAAGGCCTTCTCAGAGAACCGAGAATTCAGAGGACGTTGTCCAGACAAGGTCAGCATTCAAGGTGAGTTGCTGAGTATGGATGCTTTGACTGCTGACGGCGCTGGTGGAATGAGGGCAGGGAAGTCGTGGCTTCACGGCACGCCAGTGAATGAAATAAGGACAAATCTTTGACAGATCCATCAAACTGAACTGGACTTGAATCAGACTTTCCTGGTGTGGCTTATTCCGGTGGTTTTTGTGTTCGGGGCTTAGTGGAGTGAATCAGAAGCTTTCAGGAAAAGACTCTTTCCACTAAGGTAAGCCTCATGTGGGAGAGGCCAAGGGGAAAAGTGTGGGCACATTTGGGGAATCAGGGAGATACCTTTAAAAAAGTGGTTTTCTCTTTATTTATAGGTAAAGTATGGTGGTTAAGCCTCTGTTATTTAGATGCAGATTACCAGGGTTCAAACTGTTGGGTTTGAATACTAGAACAGCTTGGGTTTATAGAAATTGTGACCTCTTTGAACCCTTTCTTTTCTCCATATCGTTCAGATAATACAGGATCTACCCCATGAAGTAGTAAGGATGAAACAAAGCAATGAATTTAAAGAGTTCAGACAGGAGCTGGTATCTGGCACATAATAAGAGCTCAATAAATGTTACCAGCAGTCATTACTATTATTCATTACTCATTATTATCTCAGCACTTATCAACCTCCTCCTTATTGAATTCTACCGTGCAGACCCGGCGGATCATGTATAATTGCCTACCATATTTCTCTCCTCTTCCCACACATCCACCCCTACCCTCCTCAGGCAACTCATTTGTCTCAGGATTTTCCCCAGAGACCCAGGGACAGATATTCCTCATGTTGAAATCACTACAGCAGTCTTCTCCACAGGCAGAGGCTGGACCGAGGCCTTCTGTACATTATCTCAATTGTTGGAGCATCCCTAATATGTTCCATTTTACAGGTGAGGAGATTGGGGCTCAGAAGGGAAAGTGACCCCTGTAGGTTACTTGGTCAGCAAGAGGCAGAGTGGAGATTCAGACTTAGGTCTGTTTGACCTCGATGTCCCTTAAAACTCAAAAAAACAAAGCATCCATTCAGACCCCCCACCCCCCCCCCACCCCACAAAAAAAGCACCATTGACTATAAAAATAAAGAGGGCTCTAAGTTAGGAGAGCACCGTGATTAGGCCAGTGCTAGGAGAGCCTGAGGTTCTCAAAGAGACTCCTTGAATCTGCCCAGTGTCCAAAATTGTCCTCCAACCTCAAAGGAGCCTCTGTCCCTTCCTCCCTGCAAGGCCGGTGGCCAGTGGCAACACGATGTGATGGTATTACTTTGACTGTGGCCATGCGGTGGTAAGGAAGCCCTGACCCCCTTCCGGCCTCTTTGTCCTGTTTAGTGCTCCATCTGTGGGCCCCTCGCCGGCAGCCCGGCTGGTCTTGACTCTGAGGTGGAGAAGTAAACATCTTGGAAATCTTTATTAGTTTATTTCAGAAGATGGAGCCTGTTTGTCCCTGGGGCCCGTCCCTCTTTTATGGCCTCCAGCCCTTCTTGACAAATTCTAGTGACCGGAGAGAAAACCGCTTTCTACAGGGGATCATTAAAACACCACCATAAACCTAGGGCCATAAAATATTATTTGCTGGGCATAAAAGGGGGGTAGATTTTCCCAGAATGACAACCCAGGCCCTGCTTTCTCCCACTGGGAAAGGCGGCACAGGGATGCGATCGTTCATAAATTCCTTATCTTGCACTCTGTTTTGTGAAATAACCCTGTTGGGAGAGCAGCCAAAAATATTGATTTATTTGTTCCACAGACTCAAAAGCATTTTTAATGAGTGGAGTATGGCGATGCCTTGCCAGCGTGTCTGCAGATGACTCAATCTGTGTGCACACACCCAAATGCACACACGGTTTGCAAAGGGAAACCATGGAGCTCCACAAATTGGAGGTAGGTTAAACAAGAATATTTGAAGGTGGAGGTGAAGAGGCATCCATTTGCCTCCTTCCAACTGTCTGCTCCTCTCACAGCCAAATTAACCAGCACCCATGGTGGGACTGGTTCTTACAACTGAGCCCGACTTTCCAGAGCAGAACCTGATTGAAGGTTCTCAGTGGATTTCACAGTTGGTCTCCCTTGACATTTTCCCCTGGAAAGAATTCCTTCATCCATTCAGGCATTCATTTGGTCATTCAACAAATACTGTTGAGCACTTACCAAGTGCCAGGCACTGTTCTGAGCACTGGAGTTACAGCCGTGAAAAACACTGTCACAGAGGTTATATAATAACCTCACAGTGGGGTATAATCTCAGCACACCCAATATTAATTTCATCAGATGAAATTCACAGTCCTTTATCTGAACTGCTTGGGGATAGACTGGTTTGTTGGAAATTTTGGAATTTTTTTTTGAAAGATAAAATGGGGCACATGATTACTTAGTTTGCAAATAGCCCCAGTGAGGTCTGGGGAAGTACCTGGTAACCCAACACCGTTCATATTTCATCTGTGAAGAGTACGAACATTCACTCCAACTGGGATAAATTAAGACTATAAATGATCTTGTCATGGGAGGTACAGCTTTGCCACCAAAGGAGCTTAAAAACCTGTTTTCAGAGCTGCTTTTTGTAGAGTAGCAGGTATTCAGTGCCCAGTGCGTGCCTGACCCCTGCTAAGTTCTCCAGAAGCATCACTGTTCATTCTCACTGCACCCCTGATTTTCAAGGTCATCTGTTTCGTTTTCACTGCGCTCCTACCAGGTAGGTCATCAGGTTTCTGTTTTTCTTTGTTGTGTGGCGAGGTCATTCTATTTCTCTGGGTTTTGTTTGTTTGTATTGTAACAAAATCAATATTTGTGTTGTCATATGTGTGTGTTTAAGAGGATTCTGAGAGGCTAAATGACTTGTCTAAGGTTTCACAGCTGGAAAGAGGCAGATTTGGGACTGGAACTCCAGACTGCAGAGTTTACACTCAACCATAACCTAGCACCAGTTCCCACTAGAGGAGAGACAGCAAAACAGGAAATGAAACTCTTGGGGCTAACAAAGGCTAACTAAAAAAGGCAATTAGAGAGAAGCCGGCAGTTATTCCGATAATTCAGAATATAACTTTTTTTTTTTTTTTAAAGGTTTGTGGTTAGGTAGCTAGTGTTTCTGGAGCAAATTCTCAGAATAGGATCTTATAAGCATCTACCTCCAGCACTCAGGTGCCCCCCACGTGGGGGGCTTCAGCTCAGCACCCTTTGGGAACTCTATTCTTAGTCACCTTACTTCCTGACACTTATCAGAGCCTCCGTGGGTGAACTGGGTCCGAAGCCATGCTGCGGAGCATTGCTGGGGTGCCAGCCCAGGAGGAGGGTGTGTTCCCCACAGCCCGGAGAATCCAGGCTGCAGCCGCTGGGCCAAAGAGCTGAAGGGAGGGAACTGCAGAGAGACACTGACTGCCCAGGGGCAGTTTGCCAGGAGGGGACCCTTCTTTGTTTAGACCCTCCTTCCCATGGGCAGATCTAAGGCTAGATTAGAAATTGGAAAATAGCCACTATGTGGTCAAGGCCTAGAGAATGTGAAGGGAGAGGGGATTCAGGCGAACGGGAGATGTCCCAAGGGCATCTGTGATAAAGTTGGGTTCCCCCTTCTTAAGTCTGCATGCGCCCCTGGTGAAAGAAATCGTCCCCGGAGGAAGCCAGGGCTTCTCTTGCAGTTTGTGGGAAGCCCACACTGCCATTCTGGTGTGCCCAGCAAAGGCCAGGACCTTGGAGGGGTACAGGCAGCTGGGACAAGTAAGGGTCAGGAAGGGACTTGCAGAGGGTGGGGCAGCATCGCCCTGGGGTGATCAGCCAGAGATTGGAGTGGGGGATGGAAAGAACAAAACAGCCACTGCCCCAAGTACCCAGGCCAAGGGTTTTGTGCTTTAAGGTCAAGGGCATGCCAGATGTATGGCAGAAATTGAATCCAGTGTGTGTGTGTGCGTGCGTGCGCGCACGTGTGTGCATGTGTGTGTGTGTGTGTGTGTCTTCCACCTTGGGTTGAGGATGGGGAGGGCTGAGAACAAGAACTGCACTCCAATGTGAACCACTGTTTGTGGGTGGCGCCCCTGGCGTGCGGGAGGTAGGGGTCACACGTCCACCAACCCCGCCCAATCGGGGTTCCCCAAACCACAGGTGTCTGGAAGTGCCTGCAAGTTGCAGTGCCCTGCAGAACCTGGTTTTGCCGAACTTCGCAGTCTTTTCACCTGAGGGGACCAGCCAAGATGCAACCCGGCAGGATCACGGGTCGCTTCTGGATGCGTTGGGTCGCAGCCAGATGCTCACTCGCGCACCCCAGCACCCAGATCTCGTACACTGGGGGTGGGGCAGGATGTGTGCGCCTGTCCTCTTCTCCAGCCCCCGGGCTTAGGGACCCTCCCCCAAGGTTAAGAATGGGAAGGAGGTCCTGCTAGAGATCCCGTGTCATGGCGACAGCCCCCTGTGCAGCCCCAGTGCGAGCGGCCTTGGACAGGTGAGCCAAGGGGTCCAGGCTGAAGTTGGGGTTCAGCTTCCATTGGGTAGGCGGTTTTGGAAGGAGAGCAGAGGGCCGGGCGGCGGTCAGGCAGCGGCTGCGGAGTGGACCTCTCTCTTTCAGCAGACGCCTGGGGGATGGGGAGCCAAAAGCAGGGGGATCGAGCAGGGAGTGTATCCCGCCCCCCTGCACCCCAGCTCGTGGTACGGCTTTAAAATCCTGCAGAGTTTGTCATAGGTCGGCCTCAGCACGCATGCGCAAAGACAAAGTTGAGTTTTTCTGTCTCCCCTCCCCTCCCCCCCTTTCCAGCAGCCTTTGGTTCTAAAACTTAAAAAAAAATTTTTTTTTTTCCTCTGAGAACACCAGGGGAGAGAGGAGTCCGGAGAGAGTGAGGGAGAGAGGGAGGCCGGGGGGTGGGTGGGGGGTACGTGGTCCCTGCGGTCGGTCAGTCTGTCTGTGGGGCGCAGGATCGCGTGGAAGGCTGCTGCAAGCTCCGAGGCGCCGCCTCCGCCGCCCGGAGTCCGGTTCCGTGCGGCCGCTGCGGAGCGAGCTCCTCCCGCCGCCGCCGTGCCCCGACCGCCCGCCGCCCGCCTGCTCACTCTCCCGCCCCTCCGTCCCGGCGCCAAACGAGGAGGTGGGGAGCCACGCCGGCCATGGACCGCCGGAGCTGAACAGCCGCCGCGGAGTCCCTCGCCCCTCTCTAGCCCCACGGCCGCGGTGCCCGCGCGCCTCTTCGCCCTGGAAAGGCGGGGAAAAGAGGGGGATTAACCAGAAGAGGGAAAGAAGGGGGTTGGGAGGGGGGAGCCAGTGTCTCCCCCCTGGGGCACTCGCGCATCGTCCCCGAACCCACTGGAGGCAGAACTTTCGGGGACAACTTTTACCCAGTTTGCTCCCCCTTTTTACCAAACCCTAAAATGAAAGGACAAAAGTTGGCGCTGACTCTTGCAGCTTGGATGGCGACTTCTGCATTTTCAGCGGCATCTCCCGGAGAAAAACCCATGCGCGCCTGATTGTTCTGTGGCCCCCAAGCTGCAGTGCGTGTGGGTGTGTGTGTGTTTGGGTGTGTGTCTGTGTGTGTACACAGACATCCACACACTCACTCGCGGCCGCAGGATCAGCGCCTGGAAGCAGACGTTTCGGCCACAGACTTGGAGAGGAGGAGCTGGAGATCAGGAGGCGTGAGCCGCCAGGAGTCTGCAGAATCCGTGGTGTGAATGAACTGGGGGCACCTGGGCGCACGGATCGCCTCCCCCACCCCCCCGCCCCGGGCCAGAATTGAGTTGTGGGGCATTTTTTTCACCCGCTTGTGAAGATTTTTTTTTATTTGTTGTAAAGTATTTTGCACAATCACGCCCACATTTGGGGTTGGAAAGCCCTAATTACCGCCGTCGCTGATGGACGTTGGAGAGGGAGCGCCTCGCCGCGAAACAGTCGCCTGCGCGCCCTCGCCGGACCCGCGGCTCCCTTGTTGCGCGCCGGCCGGGCCCTGTTCCTGCTGCCGGCAGGCGGACTTCGGCGCCCCTCGGTTCACGGACGCCTCCCAGCGCTGCTCCGGCTCAGGCACCCAGACTCGGACGCCAGTGACCGCTTGGGCTCCAATCCCCTGAGCCTGCCCTGCCCGACGCGCCCTGGAAGAGCACGCAGCTCTGCGCCGGATCGTCCCTCCAGGCTTAACCCGGCCGCTCCGCTCAGATTCTTCGGCTGCCCTCGGTCTTGCGGCGACTTCCTCCCCGCGCCCCCTCCCCCTCGCAATGAAGGTAGGTGTTCTGTACTCCGCCGACGCTCGCCACTTTTTTTTCTTTTGGAAGTTAACTATCCCGCCCCCCCTCCACCTATTCCTGTCCCTCCCCCCCCAGTTCTCCTAATGGCTGGAGAGGCTAGAACTCCCGCGTAGCTGGCAGGGACCCCTACCCTTTCCCTGCCGCGCTACCCCCCCACCCCCGCCCCGCGCGCTGCCTCGGCCTCCCAGGAGACCTAGTCCCACCAAACGTTCTGCAAACTTTGGAGAAAAAGTGGGGAAGAGACAAGAGAGAAACACAGCGGTTCACGGATGAGTTTCCTTTTGCCCTGAGAAACGCGAGTGTAATTTACTCTGTATATTTCAGTAACAGCATAATGATTCAATTCAACAAATATTTACCAAGCGCGGGCACCGAGAAGGTGTGCAGCCAGGGCTCAGAAAGGGGAAGGGGACTCCTTGGTTGAGAGACCGTGAAGCTGGACTAGGGGCCGACTGTGCCGAGCAGCGCACCTCTCGCCCTCTGCAGCCAGAGGCCAGGTTGCAAGCTCAACGCAGCCGGGGACCCAAGCGCTGCAGGCCCTGTGCCTTTAAGAGTGCCTGGCAGGGGGCCAGCGTGCACCCTGGCTCGGGGAACGGGGTCGCGTTATTAGCATTATTAGTTGCCACTGGGTGAGCTCCGCAGTTTGCACCAGTGATGGGGGCGGGGAGGGCTGG